CTGGTTGATTTTAGTCACAAATTAGAGGAACAAATGAAAGCTAAAATAATTGAAATGAAGAGAAATTCAGGGAAACCAATAGTGATGGAAAGGAAACTGGGACTCACATCAAGGGAGTGGATCAGAAGAAAGAAAAAGATGACCCAGAATAAAAGAATAAAGAAAAATGAGGAGAGGCTTAGGAACCTTCAGGACATCTTTAAATGTTCCAATATCTGAATTATATGGGTACCAGAGGGGGAAGAGGAAGAGCAACAAACTGACAACTTATTTGAACATATGATGAAGGAGAACTTCCCAATCTGTCAAAGAAAATGGACTTCCAGGAAATCCAGAAAGATCAGAGAGTCCCAAAGAAGTTGGACCCAACAAGGAACACACAAAGGCACATCATAATTACATTAGCCAAGATTAAAAAGAAGGAGAGAATCCTAGAAGCAGCAAGTGATAAAAGGACTGCCACCTACAAAGGAGTTCCCACCAGACTGTCAGTGGATTTCTCAAAAGAGATTTTACAGGCAAGAAGGGGCTGAAAAGAAGTATTCCAAGTCATGAAATCCAAAGACATACATCCAACATTGATCTATCCAGCAAAGCTTCCATTTAGAAGAAGGACAGATAAAGTGCTTTCAGATAAAGTCAAAATCAAGGAGTTCATCATCACCAAGACCTTATTATATAAAATGTTAAAGTGACTTATCTAAGAAAAAGAAGATAAAAAATATAAACAGTGAAAGGACAGCAAACTCAGCTATTGACAACCACACCAAAACAAAAGCAAACTAAAAGGACAGCTAGATCAGGAGTGAAAATATAGAAATGAAGATCACATGGGGGGTTAGTAACAGGAGAATGGGAGGAGGAGAGGGACGGAGAAGGTACAAAGACAAAGTAACATAGAAAGTAGATAGAAAATAAAGAGGGGGGAGGGCAAGAATAGAATGGGAAATATAGAACCTAAAGAACTTGAGACACGTGGACATAAACTAAAGGGGAGGAATGGTGGGGGAGAGGGTGTACAGGGTGGAAGGGAATGAAGGGGGAAAATAGGACAACTGTAATAGCATAATCAATAAAATATATTAAAAAATGAAACAACCGAAAACTTCCACCCTACACAAAAATTAACTCAAGATGGAAAAAAGATTTAAATATAAGTTGCAACACCATAACAATTGAACATAGAAACATATGTTCATAAAAACACAGCAACATAGGAACATAGGCAGAATCTTAAAGGTGAACATAGCCATGAAAATTTCAGCTATTCTATGCAGCAATATTTTCACTGACATGTCCCCTAGAGCAGGGGACACAAAGGAAAGAATAAACAAATGGGACCTCATCAAATTACAAAGCTTCTGCATGGTTAAAGAAAACATCAGCAGCCTGGCTTCTATAGCTCAGTGGATTGAGCATGGGCCTGGGAACTGAGCAACCACGGTTCAATTCCCAGTCAGGGCACATGCCTGGGTTGCAGGCCAGTTCCCAGCAGGGGACACACAAGAGGCAACCATACATTAATGTTCCTCTCCCTCTCTCCTTCCCTTCCCCTCTAAAGATAAATAAATAAAATCTTTTTTAAAAAAAGAAAACATCACTAAAATCAAAAGGAAAACAACTGCATGGGAAAATATATTGGCAAATGACAATTCAGTCAAGGGTTTAATCTCCCAAATGTATAAAGAACTGATCCTACTCAACACCAGAAAGACAAAAAACCCAATTAGAGAACAGGCAAAAGACCTGGAAAGACACTTCTCCAAGGAGGACATACAGAGGGCCCAGAGACATATGAAAGGATACTCAGCATCACTAGCTATAAGAGATGCAAATTAAAACCACAGTGAGATACCACTTTACACCTGTGAGAATGGCCATCATAAGCAAATGAACAGACAAGTGCTGGAGAGGATGTGGAGAAGTGGGAGCCCTACTATATTGTTGGTGGGAATGCAGACTGGTGCAACCCCTGTGGAAAACTATTTGGAATTTCCTTCTAAAACTAGAAATGGAACTGCCTTTTCACCCAGCAATTCTACTGCTGGGATTATACCCTAAATCCTGAAACACCAATTCAAGAGAACCTCTACACACCAATGTTCATAGCAGTGTTATTTACATAGCCAAGCTCTGGAAACACCCTAAGTGCCCATCGGTAAATAAGTAGACCAAACAATTGTGGTCTACTTTTGTTAATTTACAATTAACAATTGTAAATTCCATTTACACAATGAAATTTTATGCAGCGGAAAGAACGAAGGAGCTCCTACCCTTCACAACAGCATGGATGGAACTGGAGAGTCTTATGCCAAGTAAAATGAACTAGGCGGTGCAAGGCAAATAGCATATGATCTCTCCCATAAGTGGAATCTAATCAACAAAACAAACATGGGAGAAAAATAGAAACTGAGACATGGAAATGAACAAACTGGCAGTGAACAGTGGAGAGGAGGAAGGAGGAGAATGGGTCAAAGTAGAGGAAGAGTCAAGGAACACGTATAAAGGACACATGGACAAAGAACAAAGGGGGTGGATGATTAAATGTGGAAGGTGGGGTGGGTAGGGCAGGGGAGATTAATGGGGGGGAAATGAGGATTATTGAAACTACAGAACAATTTATAAAACAGTTATAAAAATGTATGTACTGTGAGAACACTACTTATGGTTATGCCCTGCAGAGGTGCCGAGTTTCACACCTGCACTTTTCCTCAGAGTCTAAGACAAAAGGCACTTCAAGGCAGCCTGTGCCCAGAAAAATGTGGGCAGTCAGATCTTTTCCTGCAGATGGCAATCCAGAACGGAAGCACGACAACTGGAAACATTTTCTTGGAAAATTTCAGCCAGATTAAATATTTGGGAAGATTTGAAAATATAATAAGGATGAGCACTGTGAGCAACATGACAGGATTAGATAATTATTAGTATGTGATGTCAGAGTGAAAGACGCATTGAACAAATTTAAAGAGGCAAGAAAGACTCGCCTCTTTATTAAAGACCATGCCACAGTGTACTGAGCCAGAACTCAACACCCCTGAAAGAAACAGCTGTGGAGATTTAAGAACAGGAGAAAGAATCATAAGAATCTCTGTTTGCTAAGTGGCAGTACAGAAAAAAAAAGTAAAACATTTCATACATTCTTCACAAGTTGCCTCTCTACATCGTGGTTGTAAATGTTCTTACCCAAGTTAGGTTTCTACCTGCCACGAGGACTGAGACACAGAAACACCAGAAGGATTAAATTTTTAGAGATGGATCCAGCCCCTTGCAATGTATATTCTCTGAATCACTGGCAAGAAGACTTTCAGGAGACTTATGTGTAATTCAAGAGGACAAAAATAAAACTGTAATTACAAATTGCAATTAAATTTCTGAGGAAAATGCTCTGATAAGATGGAGGAGAAAAGTCTGCAATCAGGACAAACCTGTCTAAAGTTTACTGACTCTGAGGGAGCATTAAGTCCTCTAGGTCACAACCAAACCGCTTCATGCACAGTGGAAAGAACCACAACCCAATCTCTTTCAGCCAAAACCAAGTTTTTATCTCCATCAGTTCCTGCAATTTACAACCAGGTGCAAGTTCCCAGCAAATTATAATCAGGGGCAAAGTAGCTCAGAGTCCCTGAATGGAGCTGGAATATGATCTCCCAGTTTTCCAGTCAGGCATTATGCTTTTTTCCACAGTCATCTTTCCTTTGATTAAACATCATCCATAAGAAAGAAGTGCATACTTTATCTATTGGCAGGAGTCACCTGATTTGGCCTGATTAGCCACATAATTGCAGAGGAACTGATATTCACCACACAGTTTGCTCTGATGCAGTTTTTTTCTATAATACATAAGAGAGATTTAACAGCTTCTTGAAGTTAGGAAGGCTCACCTTCACACTTCATGCACAGTCACCTAATTTTGGGTGATGTACTCTCCTGCAAGAGATACCAAAATACCTGCAGGTCAAATTAGCTCCATTAGGAGTAAGGTGGTTTATAATTCCACAGGCATGAGTCTGAACTAGGATATTTGGGCTCAAGCCTCAGTTTTCATACCCAAGTTTCTGTTAGAAGTGGGAGGGAGATAGAGAAAGGAGAAACTGGATGATCTGATCCAAGTGCATTTATTTGATGCTGAGCTCACAGAGGCGCTAGGTCTGGACCAACTGCAGCCCTCTGGGGCAAAGAAAGAATGGTGTTTTAAAAGAAAAAGTGCAGGGTTTGTGGGGGCATATAGGAGGGGTCAGTCTCTTGTTCTTCTGGGCAGTTGCCTCAGGGCAACTGGGACAACGGGTTAAGTAAAGGACCAGGCTGTGCCCAGGTAGAGGAGGGTCAATCTGACTACTGGCCATTATGGCTGGTGCCACATGTCTATTGTGGGAGGTGGGGAGAGTTTGGGTTAAGCCTCAGGCTATCAATTGAGTCTGGATAACTGAGTCCTTGGCAGTCCAGCTGGTTGGAAAACTGGCCTGACCCTTTCACTTGCCAATGGCATCTTATTAACCCAAAGAACAGAGATGTACTGAATTATGCCAATAATATTATTGCCATATAAATTAGAATACCCAAAGGAGTTTAGAAATCTTTTGAAAGACAGAAAGTGAATGGCAAAAAGCAGTGTGGCTACCCACATGGGTGTCCTTTTGTCCATCCCCATTGTCTACAACAGTGTCCAGGGGCCTCCACACTTTTGCCTGCAGAAGGGACAGAGCTCAGATCACTGGAGCTCATCAGTTGCTCAAATTGGTTATCGAACAACCACTTCTGATCATCTGAAGGACACAATGTCACCTCCAGTGTGGACACGGTATACATGAGACCAATCTGAGGTAGGGTTTGATCTGAAATGTGAGCTTCAGTCAATAATTATGACAATGTCTACTCACACCGTTACGTATTTATTGACTCAGGGCAAACCTTTTAAGAAATACTCTTCTTCAGGACACAACAATTACAACAATGCAAAAACCTTTATTTAGAGTTTAATAACAAAGATGAAGGGAGGAGGGTCACTCATGATGTACATACAGCATAAGGGCCCAACTTTCAGCAGAAAGTAAGGGGTCATTGACTTTACACTGGTAATAACCAGCATCCTCCATGTGGACAGGGTGTATGGTGAGAGTTCTGTGGTCCTTGGACAACTCTTTTCTTTCTGAGAGCTGCAAAGCCATGCCATTAAATAACCACTCATTGGAAAGTGCACGTGAAAAGCAGCTCATGACCATGGTATCACCCTCTGCAACTGTGATTTTGCTGGCTGAGAGAAAGGACGACCATCCCACAGGCTCTGTGGAGAAACAGAAATGGAACTTAAGTGGGCTGAGACATTGAGCACATGGCTTCCTCAGAGATCTTAGCCACTCATAGTCCACAGTGAGCTATGCAAAGTTCACCCTTGTGGGCTATTTGTGTTAGGTAGCTACGAGATAGAAATTTGGAAAAACCTCGATTCTTCCTCATGTGCAAACTATTATTATTAATCCCCAAGGTCAAAGACCAATGACAAGAAAGACTATTCAATTGGAGAGCAGAAAGGGGTCTGAGAAAAGGGTCTTAAAATACACCTTCTTTTTGGGTCTATTTTAGACCCAAAGCTCTAAAATAGAGGTTGTGCTCTGTGGCCAGAAATCTGAGGACTCTGTATCCAGGTTCCAGGCTCTGAAGAGATTTTGGACCATTCATTAATAAATAAAATTGCCTTTTATTTCTTCCTAATTAATAAAAAGCAACACAGCATTTGTTTTATATTGGCCCCTGAGCTGGATTCAGGGGTACAGTGGCATTGAGAGGGCAAAGTTGTGTTCCCTTTATATCCAGTGGTAGTGACAGCAACACATCAGAAAAAAAAAAAAAGTGATTTCAAGGCCAGCGAAGGGAGGGGTGCATCGGCCACACCTCACTCAGAGGGAGGTCTGGGGGTTCCCATCACTGACCCAGATTGTTACCGTAGGCAATTAGTTTCTGTAGTAAAAACAAATTAATTCTCCTTTTCCTGTCATCTTCCAAACAGAGCATGTTACCCTGACCTTAGGATGCCTAAGGAAAAAAATTGACCTGAACCAATTGGTGGTTCAAAGACCCACAGACACCTCACAAGGCCACCAAAATAGAGGAAGGATTTCAGGCTGTGGTTACAGACAGACCTTCAGTAACTGACGAGCTGCTCACCACCTGTCTGACTCTGCTGTAGTGACTGTGTCTCTCTGTTTCTCAGTTGCTTCTTAATGAAGGAGGATGAGCAATTGGCTATCAGTTTTCAGCCTAGTAATCATAAGGTGTTTACAGTATATGACCTAATTCTTAGGACAGAAGAGCAACTCAAATAAGAAGCATCTGTTATTGATTGCGAGAGAGGATCCCCCTGAGCTGATTCCTGGTGAACACAGACCAGCCAGAAGCATCTTCTATTCTCAGTTTCTTTCTGGAGATGCTTACCTTTTCCTCAACTAGAAATTTGCTAAATCCCCCAGCATAGTCAGCTCATATCCAAAAACATTGTCTAACTGTGCTCTCACACATCTGCTACCTCGATGATAGGTGATAGACTGATGTCCATTTTTGCCAAAATGTGGCTCTTGGGCCCGAGCCTGGTTGGTAACCTTCTCAGAAGCCTTGTTTCTTAGGCACTTGTTAACCCTTACCAAACTGGTCTTTCCAAGGAAGCCAAACCCAACCTGACACAGGGCCCCCAAGACCCTTATGGTCAAGAATCCCAGGATAGGGTTCTGGGGAGGAGCTCCTAAGAGGAGCTCTTCTAAGAATTTCAGGGGGGCCCTAACACCAGGGTATGACAGAGGCCTGAAGGGTCATTCTCATGGTCAAGGTCATGGGAAGGTTCTCAGGGGCTGAACACAGACTGGCTTCCCTGTCCTGAGTTACTCTCGTCAGACTGGTCCTTCTGACTGCAGTGACTGTCTGCAGGGCTGGATCTGGGAAGGGAACTGAAATCTTAGGAAGTGTGTCCCCACTCTCTTTATCCTGCACTAATTGCAAAAACCCAACCTGGAACAGAATACAGAGCATAATGAAGGTTAAATTCATGGCTGTCAGTTCTGTGTGTGAAGTAGAATTCTCCCCAGCTAACACCCAGATGTCAGAGAACAATCACTTACGGTACACATCAAGCCGTCCGAATCCTATTTCTTTTACTTGATTTGGAAGGTAGGCCACTACAGTGTACGTTCCTGCGTCTCTCAAGGCAGCCTTTTTTATCAGCAAGGTTCCATCCATGTCTAATATCATTCGATCTTCATAAAACCGCCCTTTTTCAACTTTTCCAGTCAATGAGAAATAACCTGCTATTAGATTTAAAGGTATTTCCCATTCTCCTCTGAACCACCTGTAGCCTATAGCATTTTGAGGCTTATTGTGGAGACTCAGACGCACTTCCTCCCCTTCAGAAACATTGGTTGACACAACAGAGAGTTGGGCATTCGTGGGAAGGCACCAGAAAGTTAACAGGGATACTAGGAAAGAAAAGAGAAACATTAATATTCGGATCTATGTGTTTGCAGGGAAAGAAAAGGCCCTGGCACCTGAGCTGGTCTCTTCAACTCTCAGCTTTGATCTGAGTGTGAGTGTGTCTCCCATGGGCAAGGGTGACAGGAAAGGAAATGGCTAGATGCTCAGTTTAGTTGTTTTCTGGTGTTACCTGACATAAATTATAATTTATATTTATAATGTTTTAAATTATATTTATAAATTATAAATATCATTATAATTTATAAATTATATAATTTATATATTTATAAATTATATCATTTATAAGCATTATAAATTATGAATATAATTTATAATTATAATGTTTTCATAATTCAATACTCACTGATGAATAAGTTTTGAAATATACAGCAATTGAGGTTTTCCTGCCTCTCACTACTTCCAGATTAAGAGATTTTCCCCTTGCTGAGCCCCCTTCCTCATCTTACTCTGCTCCTTTTTTTTTTTTTTTTTTTACCCTCAGGTCCAAACAGAAGCCTTCCCTCTTTTCTCAGAGTACTGGTCTCTTCAGCAGATCCCAACCAATCTGTGTGTCAGATCCTTAGTGTACCCCAAGGAATTGTCTCCTACTCACCAATCAGCAGGAGCCCTTGCCAGTGGACAAGTCCTCTGTGGGTAAAGTGTGACAGGAATCCCATGGTGTATATTGTCTGCTCTGTGGCTTCCTCTTTGAGAGAAGCTTGAGATTTAGTGGGGCTCACAGGCACCTCTGTCCAGAATGGTGCAATGTGCTGTGTGTCCTACCTGTGAGCTGAACTTTATTCTGGGGCAAGATTACTATTCATGTGCTGGGGGCAGGGTCTGTTCCCAAGATCCTCCCACTCCTTGACCTCATTTATTCCACCCTGTCTCTTCTTACTAGTTTAGTGTCCTTTGATATTTTAGTGCCTGGGAACTGCTAAAGCCTCTGAACTCTACACTCGCATGAACACACACACACATACATACATATATACACTAGCCCACACTCACATGATGTATTGAAGAAGCACGAGCCTGGGGTGTCTGGGTTTCGGGGTTTCCCCACAGCTTCCTCTCAGGAGCTCAGTACTCTATCCCACAGCCTCTCTCTTTTTCACGTTTGACTGCCCCCTTCAGGACAGATATTCCTGAGCCAGCTCAGAGATACCCGTCACAGGGATGTCACACCTGCTGTGCATTCAATCACCTGTGAGACATTGTAAACATTGCTATGCCAACAGACACTTTTAAAATGCTGTTATTCACCAAAGACACTGAAATAGAGAACAAGCTGACAGTGACCAGAGGGAAGAGGGGAGGGAATTTCAGTAGAAAAGGGGAAGGGTTTGCAGGAACAAGTATAAGGGACACAGACAAAAACTAACAGGGATGGAAATGGGAGGGAGGTAGGGAGGGCTGGGCAGGTTGCCTGGGATGGGAATAAAAGGCATAAAACTGTATTTGAACAACAATTAAAATAATTTTAAATTTTAAAATTTAAATTTAAAATGCTGTTGTTCATAAAAATAAATACACAAACATGAATATTATTTAAAAATAAATGAAAAATAAAAATGCCACTTCACCAGCTGTCCAGGTAATGTGGGTGCCCATTCAAATTGTGATCACTTGATGTGAAGGTTGAACCATTTCTACTGCTCTCCTGTGCACAGGGAAAGTCTCTAGATCCTGTTAAACTACAGATTCTGGTTACAGTTGATCAGAGACTCTGCATCTGGCAAGGTGTCAGGAGAGGTTGATTCTACTGGCCTGTAGGGTACACTTGCAATAGCAATGCTAATGGAGGGACATGTGTCCCTGAGAGGATGACCCACTCATGCCAGCACTGGCCTCTGCTGTCTTTGTCTTGGGCCTCTCGACAGCACCACACAAAGAGCCTTAATGTGTCCCCAAATTGTCATCATTTTTGTTTGTGACACAGAAACACAGCTGGGAATCCAGGCTGCTTTGCGATCTCAGATGATGAGGTTTTATTTCCTCCCATCACAAAGATGACTTTTGGGATGAAAATGGGTCAAACTGGGAGATTATTGCAGAGGGGACCCTTCTTCAGTCTCCAATTGACTGGATTTTGTTACCAGACAGGATTTTTGCCTCAGGAACAAAGACCTGAAAGCCAAAGTCTCAACTGCACCTGCAATTTTGGGTGTGAAGCATGAGGTGTCCTGCGTGTCCCAGGAAGAAAGGAATGTGATGAAAGGTCAGGGTTCTGAGAGCTTCCTGGTCATGCAGGGACAGGTTCAGGTTGACCATTCCCCTCCATGTCTGTTTGTCGGCCTGTCCCATTGCTCCCTGAGTATTGGGACAACCTCTGGATTCTGCCTGGGAAGCTTCCTTGTGGTCACCAGACTTGCCCATAGGTGGTGTCAGACTTGGGGGACACAGAAGCACAGAAACCCCTGAGTGAGTAGGTGCTCCCAGGCCCTGTCAAAGTGAGCACTGTTCAAACCTGTGAAGCAATTTAATGAGTTTGTCTGAGCAATACTGACCTCATATATTTGGGAGAGAGGTCTCCAATCCCGTGAAACACAGCAGTTTTGCAGCTTGTTTTATACATCAAAACCAAAGGAGAAGATGGAAATAGTCGCATGCAATCCATCAGAGGTGAGAAAAACATAGCAGGTAAATCTCTAGAATTAGATAAAAGTCTAAATGGACACACACATACTTGTTGTACATTGGTGGGTGCAGGATAATTAACAAGAACATAAAGAGGGTATGCAGGGGACAGGTAACATGAAGGGTTCTGGGGCCTGGTATACTTCCCCAGAGTCTCAGTCACGGTTATGCTATCCAAGATGCACAAAAACAGGGGTCAGGGCTCACTTACTGTGAAGACTGACCTTTGCTAAGGCAGGTATAGACCTGGGAATGTGACAACCTGCCCAGCTAGGAATGCCTCATCACAGTAATGGGTAAGTTCACTTTTCTTCACTGAGCTTGCCAGGCCTGCCATATGGCTCCCTGAGCTTGTTAGGGTTGCTGCACAGCCCCTTTTCATTAACGTCCATAGAAGTACCAAGTGAAACAAAGTGGGCACTAGGGAGGGCCCCAGAAAGGCCTTCTCAAGCAGGGGATGAAAATCATCCTCCTTTATCTTCTTACCAAATCCAGGTTCTGGTGGGAATTCCGTGTGCATGTGTGTGTGTGTGTGTGTGTGTGTGTGTCCACTAAAGACCAGGACTAGACCTGAAGCCAACATGAGGAGTGGCACAGGGACGGGGGCCACTGCAGGGTCACCCCATGAAAACATGGCAGTGTCCAGAGCACTGATTCTAGTGTCAGGACCACTGTCCCACCAGGGGAATGTGCTTCTTCAGGCAGAGCTCTCTGCTTTCAAAGGGTCAGAGAAGGACCTGGTGCAAGTTCTCCTGAGGCTCTTGAGGGAGGTTGCTTGCTTTGAGGCTTGATCCAAAAAACATGCTATATGTAGTCCAACCCTGCATTGGGGCTTTGAACAGAAGTCATCTGTGTCCCTGCCTGTCATCTGCTCTGGGCCTCCTCCCCAGGCCCAGGAGCTGGAGCGGCTCCATGTGACAACCAAACCAGGAGACCCTGTATGTCCTTCTGTTAGGGGAAGGGAGCTTCTCCTGAAACCCTCAGCTACCCTGAGATGCAAGCAACCACAGATTCTTGGTTTTCCTGTCCCATTCTGTACAAGAAGTTTCCTTATTCCCAGGACACCATGAACTGGTGACATGTCTTCAGAAACAATAGGCTGATGCCCCACATACCAGGGACTCTGGGCATAAAAAGTCTTCCTTTGATTTTCTTGAGGTTGGTGCATGTTCCTTCCTCCCCTGGCAGTAACTCTACCAGGGGTTGGCGATCCAGAGTTTCTGTCATTCAGGTATCTGTGAGAACAGGAAGAACACAGGCCTGAGGTGGTGAGATGTAACTCAACTCACAAGGTTGGCCTGTGGTGGGCTGTGCTTTTTCTGGAAAGAAAAGGTGATCCAAACTTTCACTGTTAGAAGGTTCTTTTCCCACCTGCTGAATGTACAACAGTTAAAGACATGACCCCAGGTTGTCCCAAAGCACGTGGTGGCAACCTCTCAGGTAGATACTAGTGTGTTTGTGTAAGAAACCTCCTTATACAAAGTTTGGCTACTTGACTCAACACAATTATTTTGACATGGTTCTTCCTTTTTAGTTGTTAGTCCTATCTCATCCCATAGATGCATTAAATGTGTGTATCCATTCACCCCTTTGTGGACACTTGTGTTGTTTCCAATTTGGGGCTGTTACATGTGATGCTGCTATGAACACTTATGCAGAAAAGTCTTTAACCACTAAATTAGGTGGTTGGACACACCTGAATAGTCAGAGGACCTTGAAGTCTGGTCTCAAGGTCACATAGACACAGCCCCATCCAGAGGCACAGAAACACCTACCTCTTCACATGAACCTGTGTCTGCCACAAACCCCCATCAGTCAACACAGTAGCAGAAATAATGACCCCATCTCCCTTCCAGATTCTGAATTAAACACAAGTGCACCTCAGAGGCTGAATTTGATTCACGTCTGGATTTGCAAGCACTAGGAGTTGGGGAAAGGTAGTTTCTACTTTTTCAGTCCCTGTGATATGAGAAAAGATGAAAGGAAATAGAACACAGATGCCAAGTGCCCTCAGATAGCAGATGGCATTTCTGAGTCCACTCGAATGCAGTGTGGCCCTGGGTGAGTGGTCCCACATCAAGAAGCATCAGTTCCCTCATGTGATGTCATTAAGAGATGTTTGATCTTCTCTCCTGGATCTTAGAGAAGAGCAGCTAAAACTTCTGGAATTTTTTAAGTGATGGGGATGATGAGTGTCTCTTGTTGTGGTGATGCAACTCTTGGCAGACCTCTGGGTGGTTGCAGAGTGAGGAGACGTCACCAGAAAGACAAAGGTTTGATCAGAAGCTTGGAATTTTCATCTGTCGATCTAAGAGATGTCTAAGCCTGCAGAGAATTTTTGTGGGTCTATTGGAGCCAACTGGACAATTGCTGGGGAGAAAAATCTCAGTGGATTGACAATATGCACCAGAGTATGAAAGTTTTGTAGATTATTTTATACAGTACAGTGAAAACCCAAGGCTAGAGGGGTTCTATGGAATCCTCTGGCAATAGATTATAGAGGTGGAAGAAAGTTAAGAGATCTCTGAGCCTGGGAAAATGTAAAACAGACACATCCACTCTTTAGGTTGGTGGCTACAGAATAGGTAGCAGTTCACAATGAACAAAATCACAATTACAAAGAACAAATGTTTTGTCTCTGCTCTGGTGCAGTGAAGGGTCTGTAAAAAAAAGCAGTTATTCAGACATTAGAAAGCTTTCTTATGGGAGGTGCAAAAAGACACTGAACAGACTTAGTTAAGGCAAACACAGGAAATTATCAAAGAAGATGCTGGCCTAGGACCAGTTTACCCACCATGACTTGCATTTCATTAAAAGTTTATATTTCAGATGATCCTATGTGGTTACTGCAGGTCTCTGAGTTTGTACCTCCCACCACGCAGACCTCCCCTGAGCTTGGCAGGTTATCAAGGGGCCACTTGTTTTCAACACTTCACCTTCTTAGTCATAAATCAATCCAAATAATACACTGATGACCAATCTTTCAGTCAGATAACATTGTCTCAAGTTCTAGGAAAGGATTTTTAGGAAGACATAG